ATTGTACAACTGTTTATTATGAGAATGCAATATACATTATCAGCTCTGATTCAAGAAATAAATTGTAATGCTAGGACACATTTAAAAAATAGTAAATGTCATCTGTATATTTAAGTAACCTCATTCAAAGTTAATGTAAGAATTTACCCAAATATTTCATGTAGTCATGTGAATAACTATGTTCACCCCATTCAAATTTTCCAACATATTTCAACAGACAAGATATTTGATCTTCATTCCAATCTTATGAGCTAGATAAAAGATATAACAATTATGCAAATTTACATTGTGTACTCCATTGTTTAATTTAGATAAACATAAATGCAAATTTCAGAATTTGAAAAAGTAGAGTACACCCTTATCTATCATCACCTCAAATAACTAAAATTAGGATCAGGAGCACCATATCAAGTGCAGGTATTTTAAAAAAAGGATCTAGAGGTCTTATTCAAATCTCAGATGTTTAGTTGGATTTGTTCTATGTTGTTAAGGTGTTCAAAATCCTCACAACTAGATTGAAAACTGCCCGAGGCCTCCAATCTATAGATGCCTATGAGTCTGGGAAGGGATTTAAAAGACTGTCAAATGATTCAACATCAGTTATTCCATTGCCTGGAAAATCATCTACAAGTAGAGATTCTGCCAATCTGCTCAGGCCAGGCCTTCTGCAAGAGCAGAAGACATGATGCTGAAAGAAGTCTCTAAGAACCCCAGAATATCATGTAATTTACAGGTAGCTCTCACATTACTGATGTCAGAATGCATGAATGAACCTTTAGAAAGAAGCTGCACAAATTAGACTTACAGGGAAAGTGTGCTAGGAGGAAACATTTGCTGTCCAGAAAGAACGGGGCAAGGTTAAAAGTCGCTGTGACAGGTTGTGCCTATGAAGAGGGACATATCATTTGGACTACACTGAAACAGCAGTTTTCCAGGAAGGAAAGAACACATTCCAAGAAGTAGGGTGAGGAGATAACACAGCCCAGAGCTGGATCAGAAACAAAAGAGAGTTAGGACAGCCATTTCCTTGAATTTCCCAGGCTATATCTGTTAGGCTGAGACTAGTATAGGTTTAGACTTTTAGTCTGGCAAGATTCTGTCTATTTGGTACAAGCAAATAAGAGAACTGAAGTTTGGCAGGATTATTCTATGTCATTCTTGGGCTGAGTTCACAGTTACTTATGGAACAGCTAGGCAAAGGCCAGGACTTGTGGAATAATGTGCTCTGACAGATGAGGCAAATATAGTGTTATTTTGCCACAGCATGTTTGGCCAAAACCAAAGACACCGTTTCACCTGATTATCTGCAGCAGGGCCTGGGCAGCTCAGAATTCAATATGAATTCTTCATAGTACTAGAAGGTCTGTGAGAATAATGTGAGAACATCTGTCAGAAGACTGAAGCTCAACCAAAAGTGAATTTTGCTACATGATGACCCTAAGTATTCTAGTAAATCCACCAAGAAATGGCTGGGGGAGGGAAGGAAAAAAATTGGAGAGTTCTGGAATAGTTGAGTCAAAGCCTGCTTGTAAATTCCATTGAGATACTGCAAGGGTGATTGAAATGGCCTGTGCATGCAAGAAACCCCTCAAGTATCATATAGCTGAAAAAATTCTGCATTAAGGAGTGGAGAAAAAATGCCAATCGGTCTATGTCAGAGATTGGCAGTCTATTATAACAAATGCTACTTGAGGTTGTTTCTGCCAAAGGAGGCAATATCAAGTAGTAGAGCTAAGAGAGTACTTACCTTTTCCATAGAAGAAAATGTATGTTAATTTTTTTTTGCAAAGTTGATTCGTTATAGTTTTTATGTTCAATTGTAGCATCTATATACAGTTTGAATGAAGATAAAATATTGCTATGTGCACATATGTCCAAAGAGAGGGGAGGAAAACTTTACATGGATGCACGTTTTCACATGGCTTTATATTAAATCATATGGGGTGGGAAAGAGATAGAAAAGCTATTCAGTTTCCCATGATATCATAGACATTTTCTCCCTATTTCTCTCACTTTATCTTGAAAAAATGTTTTGTAAGATATCCAATTTTTTTCATGCCTCTTAAAGTATGTCAAATTTTGTTCCAACTTGTTCTGAAGGCAAATGGGTAGTGGTAATGAAGAAAGCCAATTAACTGAGACAAATAGCATCTATAGGAGCAATTAAGTTTCAATTAATTAATATTAATTGAAAATAATTTATTACATTGAGCTAAAAGAGGTAATACAAATTTATTTTAAGAATTTGCTGCTGAAAATTGGCTTGGCATATGCATTTGTCTGTCCTTCTAGAGCTGGTTTGGTCTAATGGTTAAGGCAATCAATACTTGGTTGATCCAGAAAAAAAGCAGACACTGCAATTATGGGAAAAACATTAGGAAGAAAAAAGTCTATAATCACAGCAGGATTCAATCTATGAATTAGGGTTTTGATGCATACAGGAAAACTAATAATGAAGAGAGTGATCACCAGTAATCACTTTTTCAGATTCTCTATTTAAAGTGAAGAATACTCATGTTTTATAGTAGTTCAATTATCTACATAAAAATGTGTTCCCCTTTTTCTAAAATCTGTTGAATGCTGAAGCTCACCATTTGTTATCCTATTTAATTATGCAGTGATAGTTTGCTAAATTCTGGATTAGTTCTAAATAGCAGGGGCATTTATTTCTTAATTTTACATTTTAGTAGATTAGGAGTCCTTTTCATATTACACTATTAATACACAATCTAATATCAAAAGAAATCAAGGGATTCTATTGTTTGAAACCCCATTAGTTGTATCTTAATAGCACAGAAGACTGGAGTATGTATTTACACGCAGCCCTGCAAATATCTACGTGAACCAAAGAGATATCCATGCAGGTGACATAAAAGCAAACGGTTTCTAAGAAACTAATTGCAACTTATTAGGTCCACCCACCGCTAATGGAGCAGTTTCGGGAATCAAAGGGGGAACGTCAAATTCAGCCTAAAAATAAACCCTAACTTTGCAATAGTGGTGAATATCTGTAGCTCAGGTGCAGGATGAGGGTGAAGGTTCGATCTCCGAGCTTGTCAAACCCTAATTTTGATCAAACAACGCTTTAAGAATAGCTGCCTATATTCTGCATGCCCAGAGCCAAGAAAGCACAGGTGGCATCAGGCTAAGGTTTACAAAAAGAAGCTCTCTTAGAATATCTATGGAGATCCTCAGTCATCCAAGGTCGTGGTTGTCCCAAAGGTGCTTTTTCAGGAGGCAACTGGACTTTCTTATTTTTCTTTGAAAACGTTTCACTTCTCATCCAAGAAGCTTCTTCCCTCCAAAGCTATGCACTTTGAGATGAACACCCTTTGAAGGGTACGGGAGTATGAATGGATTTCCAGAAAACATTGCAGACTACAGGAACAGGGCAGAAAAAAAATCCTGCAGCCAGAAGGCTCCTCACCCATTTGAATATGCAAATGACCCTGTAAAAGAGATAAACCCCCAGGTGGCCTCAACCACTCGCTAAAAGAATGCAAATGACCAGCTGTCTGCAAGGAGTATAAATCCTTCCATTCCCCATCATCCGGTCAGAGCTGAAGAAGCTTCTTGGACGGGAAGCGAAACGTCTTCAAAGAAAAACAAGGAAGTCCAGTTGCCTCGTGAAAAAGCACCTTTGGGATTCTCTTAGAATACGTCTCCACGACTTCAACGCAGGGAGGGGAAATCTTGCCGTCCCTAACCCAGGTAGGGTTGCCAGGTCTCCTTCCAAAAAAGAGCGGACAAGCGGGGGGGAGGGGGTTAAGTAAGTAAAAAAAGTAAAAAAAAATTTTACAATTAAATTATATATTTTCTTACAAATTTTAACACGTATTAAAATAATCACTTCAAAACTTTACTTAAAATTCAAAACATCAAATATATTATAATAATATGTAAAGTATTAAATTACATTTTACTTTGCTGTCGTATGTATTTTTTATTTGACTGCACAGCTTTGATCAATTCTTTGTGTTTAAGGAATAATTTTATATACTTTTATTAAATGTCTTGTGAAACAATTGAGTATGATTAATAATTTTTTCGGAGAATCGAGTTCAATGGATATTCGATCTTTGTCTCATTCTAACCTATGAAAAAAAAGGCAAAACGCGATTCTCCTATCCTTATTCTCTTAGACTGTACAGCTTTAGATTACATACCATTTCATCATAAAGCTTTTGAATAAAAAAAAAATGTCCACTATTTTGTGAAAAAAAAATAGTGAACATAATGTGGAAAAAGCGGACTCTCCGCTCAAATAGTGGACACCTGGCAACTCTAATTTACCCAGGGGAAGCGCGACCCTCCATCTGCTGCTTCTGCAGCGACTCCAGCCACACAGAATGGGACCAAGTAAAGGAGAATATATATATATATATATATAGCTCAGGGTTGACATGAGGGGTCCTTGGTGCTCCCTGAACTTGTTTTTTGGCAGACGTTTCATTGCCCAAACTAGGTTACATCATCAGTGATGGGTAATGGGAAATGAAACGTCTGCGAGAAAACAACCAAGCATAGAATGAGGTTCTTGCCGGGCTGCACCTCGCGCTCCTTCTCGCCGGAAACTACTAAAGAGGTCGCAAAAGCGAACCCGAGCTGTTAGCACCACCTAGCTTAGCGGCCTGCAAGCCGCAAGGTTCCCGGCGCGCTCCTCGGCGCCCGATGGCCCCAGAACCAGACTTCCGCTACGCCAGCGGTTCTCAACCTTGGCAACTTTAAGACTTGTGGACTTCAACTCCCAGAATTCCTCAGCCAGCTTTGCTGGCTGAGGAATTCTGGGAGTTGAAGTCCACAAGTCTTAAAGTTGCCAAGGTTGAGAACCCCTGCGCTACGCCTTTCCGCAGTTTGTGCTTCCGCCGGTCGCACATCTGTTTTCGTCGCGAGAATTATTATTATTTTTTGCTTGTAGGCGTGGCTGCTGTTGCTAAGCAACAGTAACCTTTTCCCTCATTGGATACGTGCGTGTGCTCGCGCGAGGAAGGTCGAGGGAGCCGAGTAGCTTGAAAACATGGAGACCGGAAGTAGCAGGAAGGTAAGGCCGCATCTGGCCGGTGAGGTACCGGGCACGCTTGGGGAAGGGGACTGTCTTCCGCGCCGGTCGAGTCATTCTTTTCTCGTAACCCTCTCAGAGGCAGCACGAACCAGAATCGGAATCGTCGGGCCTGTCTGGAGAAGACGAAAACGAAGAAGAGGAGGAGGAAGAAGAAAGAGTGAAAGGAGAGGTCGAAGAGGAAGATGACGCCGACGAAGACTACCAGCCTTATGTGCCCCTCAAGCAGCGCAAGCAGCAGCTGGTAACGTCGGGCAGGTTGGCGCGGGGCGGCGGGAGCCCTTAATGCAGTGTTTCTCAACCTTGACCATTTTAAGGCATGTGGACTTCAACTCCCAGAATTCCACAGCCAGCAATGCTGGCTGTGGAATTCTGGGAGTTGAAGTCCACATGCCTTAAAATGGTCAAGGTTGAGAAACATTGCCTTAATGAAAACCGCTTGTTGCTGCCTCCTTACTGCGCAGCTGCGGGGCCTGTGACTCGATTCTATGCATCCTTATTTATCGAAGTTTTTTTTTTAGCCCCTCTAGTTAGGGTCGACGTCTTGTGGAAAACGAAAGAACTCTTACGAATTCCGGAGGGATTAGCAGAGAAGTTTAATTGCGCAAGGTCCAGAGCATATTAGAGATAGGCAATTCTGAACGAGGAGGGTGTGATTAGACTTCAGTTTTTATACTCCCCTCCTTAAAGAACAAAGGGCTGCACATTGAAATACACACTGTGATACATTAGGAACGTTTCTCACAGGCATAGAATGGAAGGTTTTGCTACATACAAAGTATCCATGTGCAGAGCGCATTTGGTTGCCACATATTACTGGCACAGAACTTTCCCAGTGAATTTTCCCAGTGATTATGCATTACATCATTGTTCTAGCAATTATGCAGACACATCATTATTGCAGTTATGCAGACAAATCATTATTCTAATAATTGTTCAATTTTACTATATTATTATATTAGACGCATTTATTCTGGTGCCTCTTTTCTATGAGTTGCTCTGTTGGTCCCAATCTTTGCCTATCCCCAGCTAATTGTATGTTTTCAGGACAAAAGAAGAGGGACCCTAGGTCAGTGGTTCCCCACTGGAGTCTGTGAAAGATGGGTGAGACTCAGAAATGGGTGGTTTATCAGAAAATCCACTGACACTTTAGTTAAGTTTTTAACATAAAGTGATAAATATATTTTAAAAAATGCCCTTAAGCATACACATTTTCTTTTGAGAAAAGTAGCTTTTTTGTTTCCGTCATGGCGGGACCCAGTGTGTTTGGTAGAGTGACTGGTGAGAATTGATAGAAATGTTTTGCATAATGCTTTGAAAACTTTTGTAGTGCTTTGCTTGTCCCAAAAGAGCATAGCTGATCTTAATTTAAATACAAAAGATTGAAAATCCCTGCCCTAGATAATCCTATAAATTGTTGTGCTGTAAGCCAATAAATGAGAGCCACTTTGATGTAGTGGTTCAGGCATCAGGCTAGAAACCAGGAGATTGTGAGTTCCAGTCCTGCCTTGGGCACAAAGTCAACTGGATGATCTTGGCTTAGCCACTCCATCTCAGTTGCCTCATTGCCTCAGGAAGGATGCAATGGCAAACCACTTCTTGAAAAAAAAGAAGAACTACAAGGACTTTTCCAGGCAGTCTCTGAGAATCTGACACAATTGAATGAAAGGGGGGGGGGAATGCAGGTAAATACAATCAGGCTTTGATGCTGTAGATCTAAGAGACACTTTCTCACTTTTATAAGATCTGTAATGTGACTCTTAACACTGACTTTTCTGTTTTGTGCTCAACAACTAAAACATATGGAAAAACTGTAGATCATCAGATGTTGAATTCCAAATCACCCCACCTTAAACTGTGTCTAATGTTTGGTGATTGAGAGTTGTTGTTGAGCAATACTTGTAGTCCCCTACAAATGTAGTCCCTAATGGTGCGACATCTGCATGGAGGGAAGTGAGCAGTGGGGTACCACAAGGTTCCGTTTTAGGCCCAGTACTCTTCAATATCTTCATAAATGACTTAGATGAAGGAATAGAAGGGGAACTTATCAAATTTGCAGATGACACTAAGCTGTCAGGAATAGCCAACACCTCAGGATTAAAAAAGATCTTGACAGATTTGAACAATGGGCCCTATCCAACAACATGAAATTTAATATGGAGAAAAGCAAGGTTTTACACCTAGGCAGGAAAAACCAAAGGTACAAGTACAGGTGAAACCTGGCTCAAAAACAGTAACTGTTGTGAGAGGGACCTTGGAGTCCTAGTGGATGATCACTTACACTTGAGCCAGTAGTGTACGGCAGCAGCCAAAAAAGCTAATACAATCCTTGGTTATATAAACAGAGGCATAGAATCAAAATCACATGAAGTATTAGTACTGCTTTATAAATCCTTAGTTAGACCACACCTGGAATATTGCCTTCAAAAGTTGTGGGTGCTTCATCATTGGAGGTTTTTAAGAAAAGACTGGGCAGCCACCTATCTCAAAGGGTATAGGATCTCCTGCTTGAGCAGGGGGTTGGACTAGAAGACCTCCAAGGTCCCTTCCAGCTCTATTCTGATTGAGATGGCTCAGCGTAATGCTTTTTTGTTAGTAAAGAGTATACTGGGTGATATAAAGAACAGTAATTAATGGGAAATATACTTTAAGTACTAAGATCCAAGTACTATCTACAGAACTGCAATTTTGCATTTAATTAGACTTTTGAATGACCCTGCTTTGTAAGGCAGCAATATTTCTGTGGCCAATATAATAGTGCAAGATATTAGTGTCACACTACTTTGAGAAGTTCTACTAAGTACACCTAAAGCAATAGATACCAAGGCTTGAATTAATCGCAACATAGTGATAAACGTTTTTTGTAATTTATTTTTGAATATAATTTCAGGGCTCCTGTTGTCCCATGTAGGCAACATAACAAAAGCCCTGATAGTTCCCTAGAAATAACAAATTTAGTATTGTGCTCTGCTTAAGTATTAGCCACCACCCAGAATCACTGGGAGTCAGGTGGCATCATTATCTAGATGTCATTTAAATCACAAGCACTGTAACATCCTATTCATTTTCTCTACCACTGATGGTTAGATATAATTCTGCTTCTGATTATCATAGTACTAAGGTAGTTATGAAATTCTCCTTGTAAAATGTATGTATGGTTTTCACCAAGAGTGGAACTTTTCAGGCTGTATACTGTACATAGAACAGAGAATAAACAGGATTGGGAGGGGCCTTGGAAGTCTTCTATTCCAAACCCCTGCTTGAGTAGGAGACCCTATACCAGGGGTAGGGAGCCTTGGCTCTTTTATGACTTATGGACTTCAATACCCAGAATTCCTGAACCAGCCATGCTAACTCAGGAATTCTGGGAGCTGAAGTCCACAAGTCATAAAAGAGCCAAGGTTCCCTACCCCTGCCCTATACCATTTTAGACAAATAGTTGTTCAAACTCTTCTTGAAAACTCCCAGTGAAGGAGCACCCACAACTTCTGGAGGCAAGTCATTCTTACTATCAGGAAAGTTTTCCTTAATTCTAGGTTGGATGTCTCTAATAATCTTTCACCTGTTACTTCTGGACCTGCCCTCAGATGCTTTGGAGAATAGATTGATCCCCTCTTCTCTGTGACAGCCCCTCAAGTATTGAAAGACTGCTATCATGTTGCTCCTAGTGATTTTCTTCATTAGACTAGACATACCTAGTTCACATAACTGTACATCATATGGTTATTTTTATTTTCTCCACTGTGGACATTCAGATCTATTTTGGGGAAATACTCCAGCTATGTTAACCAGTTCTATAAAATGCATCTCCGAAAAACTATGGTATAAGAACCTTGGTATAATTTTTGCACTTTGTGGAAATTTGAATATAGTACTCTAAATATGAGCTTAGGTTCTCATTCCCCTTGGTTCCTACTCACTCCTTTAATATCTGAAAATACCTTTCATATTTGCTGTGAAAAATAAAAATAAAATCTGAACAGTTAAAATTAGCCTAGAAAGAGGCAGAATTGAATAGGTTAGATATATATTGATGAGGTGAGCTTCAGAGGGTTCTAACAAATTCAAGATCCGTGTCTGCAAATGCACTAGTGGTTAAATCCTGCCTCGAATGAAATTCTCAGCTCATAACTTTATGCCTTTAGTTGCAAAAGTTGCTGCAGATTCGTCGCAAAGGGGTGCTGGAGGACGAACAAAGGGACAGTGGCAGCGAGTATCATGGTGATGAAGATGACATTCCCTTGGGCCCTCAATCTAACATCAGCCTTCTGGATCAGCACCAGCATCTCAAAGAGAAGGCAGAAGGTAACAGTCAACATACTTGGTTTGATTTATTAGTAGACAGAAGGTTCTGGGCTAACTATCTAATATGTTACTTTTCCCAGCACGTAAGGAGTCAGCCAAAGAGAAACAGCTTAAAGAGGAAGAAAAGATCCTGGAAAGTGTGGCAGAAGGACGAGGTAAGGAGCAAAAAAATATTTTTTCAAACAGCTTTGGTACTTAGAAAAATGGTGTTGATGTTACAGAAGAAGGCAAAATTGGGATAGCTGAGAAATAACAGATAATTTTGAACACGTAGAGAACAAAACATGCATTACGTTCCAGGTCTAGAACAAGCATATTAAGGCTCAGAAGTTTGGATGGGCCATTCTGGAATGCTTGTGGCCAGCCAAACTGAAACCCATAACATCTTAGTTATTCCAAATTTTGACTGAGACAGACCTAGAGAGGTCTTGCAAGAGAATAGGACAGGGCTGATGTACTTTGTCTAGATGGCCAGTGGGTCTCCTCACTTGATCTTCCTTCACCTTCCTTTCCTGTGTCTCCACTGCTATGCATACCCCGGTTTTCTGTGTGCTTTTGATTCCCTTATTTCAGTTTAGCTTCTACTATGTACTGTAACTTCTGTTGACTTTCCCTTTCTCACCTCACTCTGAAACATGGAAAGTTTTCTACATCCGAACTGTAAATCCCGAGTGCTTCCCGGGAACTTTAGCTTTCTGTTGCTATTGCATAGGATAAAGCAATATTCATATAGGTTGCTTTTATCAATTCATGATTACTGACTCTTGTATTTTTCTCCTGTAGCTCTGATGTCTGTGAAGGAAATGGCAAAGGGCATCACATATGACGATCCAATTAAAACCAGGTAGATGTACTCCAGTTGTACAAGATCCTTTTCAAAATATGACAATCATTTCTCTATAACATTTATTTGTATTAAAATGCATAAAAAAGGTGGGTTCTACCTTGAAAAAAATTCATTTTTGCATGTGACTTTCTCTACTTACATGGATAGGAGGATAACTGTTAAAAGTTGCAGTCACATATAAGATTGTAGCCATGGAGCTCAAGCGAATTGGATATAAGATAGGTGGTTCAGCTGTCTCTCAAATCTTCTGTCTAATTGTTTACAAAGAAATGTCTGAAAGTTGCAATTGATGTTAGCTTGCTAGGAGAACAAACACTCTATTTAACAATTTCTGCTCAAAACATCACAGCAGAAAATTTTAAAATGAAATAATCAGGGTCTTAGATTACTATATTTGTCTGTATTTCTGCACCAGCTGGAAGGCTCCCCGGTATATCCTGTGTATGTCAGAAGCAAGGCATGACCGTGTCCGTAAAAAGTACCATATCCTTGTGGAAGGGGAAGGCATTCCACCTCCTCTCAAAAGTTTCAAAGAGATGAAGTTCCCAGCTGGTAAGTAGTTAGTGATTTCAAATTTGATTTGAGCGTTTGGATAGTCAGGCATATACTGTATACTTGCTTTATTTTGAAAAACAAATTAACAGTTTTATACCGTAGTATGGTAAAGCCTTCAAAACATGTACAATCTTTGGCTCAAGATCCAGTTATCTAGTTTGCAAAACATTCCAGACCTACATTTGTATTACCCCCAAATAAATTGGATTTCCCTTATATAAGATCTTCCCCACCAGTCAGTCAATATATTTGAACTAAGGTGTTTATTTAATCACAAGGTACTTCCTTCCACAGCTAATAAATTATATACATTTCCACAAGAGACCGTGGAACTCGAACCATTACTCCCATCAGTGCCTAAACATGTGGCAGCTCTCATCTCTCTGACTATAGTCCAGAGAAGAGAAAATGAGGTTCTTGCAGAGTGGACAGAATGTAGGGCAGACAGAGTGTTGAAGCAGGTTCTTTGGAGGTTAGAGCAAGGGTCCCCAACCCCCGGTCCATGGACCAGTACCAGGCTGCGGCATGCCAGCAACTGGTCCACACAAACAAGCAAGCCCCATCCGCGGGATGCAGGCAGCACACAAAACATGCACCCTCCAGTTCGTGGAAAAACCTCTCTCCATGGAACAGTCCCTGGTGCCCAAAAGGTTGGGGACCTCTGGGTTAGAGTATTGATAAATACCTCTATTGTTTCAGGAGCTCTGGTAATTAATCTGACATATCATTTAAAAATGTATCTTCAAATGTTAGAAATTCCTTGGCATCCCCACCTCCTTGTAGCACCCCTGCACTCTTCTCCTGACACTCCCACCACTTCCCACTTAAAGACCAGCATGGTCCTGAGGTTATGTTGGTAACCAAGATTGCTAAGCAATGTAGGTATGTGACATCATGCTTTATGACCTCAGCAATGGAACTTCTGGTCTCAATTGTCATCGTAATTTGAGGACTACTCTATGGCACCAGGGGTAACTGCTCATCAAGGGCTGTAGCTCAGGATTAGCAAGTCGACTGCCAATCGAGGGCAAATGTGACATTAAAGCCCTTCAAGGGCAAGATGTTGTTTGGTGAGTTCACTGTCACAGTGCCGGTGGAGATTAAAAAATAAGAAGTATCTACTTTCAGTAAATAGGAAAAAAGCAGATGCCATCAGGGAACACTGCCAGTTTTTTTTTCATTTTGGAGGTGGTTAAGAAAGTGGTGGCTGGGGTCAACAGGATCTACAAGGCAGACACTTTAATGATGTCAAATGATTCTAGCCCTAACAGAAAACAACATAAAACTGATGCCAGAGAACAACACATGGGCAAGTAGGCAAATACCTACCGCATTTTTGGATCACAGTTGATGCTTGGATTAAGTGAAGATACGCTCTGGAACTCAGATCAATAATTAGATTTCTACCATCACAAACATCCAGGAAATCAGAATTACATCAAAGGAAATTGATCTGTCTGGCTCTTCTGCTGAGCATCCAAACAATAGAGCAGGTGCATCAGCACGAGAGATTTACTGGCCTGTTCTTGGTATTGTTCATGATCCCAAAGAAAATAGATGACTTTTTAAATTTGAACAGATTAGTTAAACTATATTCAAAATGAAGACATTGGACAAAAAGGTTTCCTGGCCCCCATAAACCTGTCTAATGCATACTTTCACATTTCCATTAGAGTGAATCACTACATGTTTCTCAGGACTGTTTCAATTCGGGGCCCTTCCATTTGACCCTGCTTTAGCCCCAATAATCTTTGAAAAGTTAATCATGGCCCTAATCAGAAGTGTGAGGACCAAGAGATTCATACCTGTGCTTACTGGGATGCTTTACTGTTCAGAGCTTCCTCTCACAGGGCAAAGAGGAACACAGTTTTTAGGCATGTCAAACTGTCGCGCAGCGTATCGTGACTTTTTCCCCATTGCCGGCAATGGGGTGGGCGCGGTTTCGGCGTGATGCATCCGGCCCACGGGCCAGCAGTTTGACATGCCTGGTTTAGACCGTCTTACGTTATGTTTATGGTGACTTGGGAAAAGTTCTCTCTCTAGCATTTTAGATGAAGGTTGTATGGGGGGGGGAGTGTTCACAACAGGCAATGAAAATATTTATCTTTCAAGAGTACAATGAATTCATGCTGCAATTCAGGAAATACTAATATTCAGGAAGCACTTTCTTGTGGCCTTTCCAAGGATATAAGGAATTATGATTATGACTCAGAACTCAGTTCCTTGGATGCAATTCTATGCAAGTCTACCCACCACAATGGTTTCTGTTTCTATTTCAGAACCATATTATTTTAAAGACAGTTTAATTTTGAACATCACAACCGCAGTACAGGTAGTCCTCGGCATACAACCACAATTGAGCTCAAAATCTCTGTTGCTAAGTGAGACAGTTTTGCCCCATTTTACAACCTTTCTTGCCACAGTCGTTAAGTGAACCATGGCAGTTGTTAAGTTAGTAACACGGTTGTTAAGTGAATCAGGCTTCCCCACTGACTTGGCTTGTCAGAAAGTCATAAAAAGGTGATCACATGACCCCAGGACACTGCAACCGTCATAAATATGAGTCGTTTGCCAAGTGTCTGAATTTTATCACGTGATCATGGGGAAGCTGCCACAGTCATAAGTATGAAAAATGGTCATAAGTCACTATTTTCAGTGCTGCTGTAACTTCAAACGATCACTAAGTGAACTGTTGTTAAGTTGAGGACTACCTGTAGTCACCTCCCCTTGGTAGTGGTTAGCATAACAATTTCTCAAGAGGAATGCCCTTGGAGAACCCTAGAACAGTGGTTCTCAACCTGTGGGTCGGGACCCCATTTGGGGTCGATCGACCATTTCACGGGGGTCGCCAAGCAAGGCTGTCCGCCATTTTTTTTGTCCGCCATTTTTTCCCCCTTTTCCGGCGGGTGCCTTACCTCCCTTGGGCTGGGCCAGCTGGTGGTCGGCCTGCTCCGTCTCTGCCGCTTGCCAGCTACGCC